GGTGCGCTGTCCGAAGCCACGCGGCCCTCGGATCCGATCTGAAGCAGGCGGGTGCGGCAGGGTGCTTGGGCCGAAGAAGCCAATGATGGTTAACAGTTTTCCGCCTCCTCCGCCTCCCTCCCCCTTTCCGTTGTCTCCTTCCCTACTAGTCAGTCCATGTGACCTTGTCCTTGTCATTATTGTCCTCCCCCTTTCCATCCGCGCCCTCGCCCAAAACTCTTGCATTTTTCCGGACCCTCGCCGTCCCCGCGGTCCAGCGGCCTTTCCGAAATCTAGGCTCCGCGGCGCCGTTCTCTGATGGCTGCTCTTCCCTCCCCGCGCCCCCCATCACCCCCCACATCGGGGGTTGCTAGAAGTGCCCCCTGGCCAAAAGTGCCCACAGCTTTTCGCTCAGTTTTTTAAAACCCCTGGGGCCGTCGGGGCCTCGTGAGGGGTGCTCTGGAAGCCGTGGTGGCCTCCTTGGAAACCTGGGGGCACCTTGGGCCAGGGGCACGTCTGGCAACACCCGACCCCGCCGCACACTTTCGAACCCTTTAGCGAAACGCTATGTGGCAATAAACCCCAGCAAAGCACCCTAATAGCAGCAACCGCCGTGGCACTTGGACGTCGCGGCGATGGCCGGGTCCAGAACCTGGGGCGCCAGCCCGGCGCTCCGAGCCGACCGAGCGCCGCGGCCGCCGGAACGGGCGCCCTCGCTCCGCACGTGCCCTCCCTCGCTCAAGGGGCCACGATAGGGGGGGGGGCTGGCTCAGGGGGGGAAGCATCGACCTGGAATCGGCGATACATCGGCGATAGGCCCCCGATAGCAAATGCCCACGTTCCTCGGCGGGGTGGGGCTCCCAGGTCCCAATCGGCGATGAATGGACGATTGGGGATCGATGCGCCCCCACTATGCCTAACTCCCCCACTATCTCGGGGGCGCGCAAACATGGATTAGCGATCCATGGATTTGGCGCGCGGTCGCCAAATCCATGGATCGGGGGAGGTGCCCTCCACGAAATGCAGCCGGTGCCGCCTCGCTCGGCGGCGGAAATCCACGATTTCCCATGGAAACGGGACCCGTCGCTAACCCACGCCCCCTCTAATCCATGTCTGCGATCGCCTGACGATCGTTGCCCCTGATCGCTCCAATTGAGACAACGGTGGTTGGCCTTGGGAGGGGGCCCTCGTTGCCACGGCTGGACGCGGCTCGACCCCAGAGGGGGGGTCTGGCCCTCCTTCGATCCTCCCTGCTCCTCCTCCTCCTCCTCCTCCTCCTCCTCCTCCTCCTCGGGTGGGGTCTGGTGGAGCCGCACCTGGCATCGGCAACGCTCGGGGCATTGGCACGAGGGTCGGTTGCCGGCCGATTCAGCTCGCCCGTCTTAGATCACCCGCGAGCTCGAAGCAGCGATGCATCGCCAGTGGATCGGCGATGGGCCCCCGATAGCGAACCCGCACGTCCCTGGGGGGGGCTATTTGGCCCTCATCGGCGATGGCGATGATCGGTCGATGCATCCCCCTCGCACGCCGTGATTTCGCGCCTCTCCCCTCCCATGCATCCCTGCTCTCGGCGGCGCGCGGGGGGAAGCGAGAAGGAGAAGGCCTTCTCAGACGCCGGCGGGGCTTCTCAGAAGCCCTCGCGCCTTCTGAGAAGCTTGCAGTGTCTTCGGGGAGGCTTAGGAACAGGGCTCGACCAAAACACTGTTTTTCAGAACCGTTGTGTTGTCATTCGCCCTCGTTTTGTCCAATCCGCCTTTGCTGCAAACCGAAGCTGAAACGAATACGGCCCACAGAATCGCAAAAACATCGTTTCAGTCCACCCCTGCTTAGAGAAAACTTCCAAGAAGGCCCGAGGCCTTCCGAGCCTTCTGAGAAGACCACCCTTCCGCTCTGCCTTCGCCCCGCGGGCGCGCCGCCGCATCTGGCATTCGGGCCATGACTCGGGCCTCCAGCGGCCGCTCGGGGCGGACACGCCCCGGAACGCTCTCGGCGAGGCGCAGCTGCTGGAACGCATCCCGAGACTGGCAATCCTCCCGAAACCCACGAAGACGCCGAAACGCGTCGAACTTCGAACTTCGAAGATCGCCCGGGTCTCGGCGAGGCGCCACTGCTGTAACGCATCCCGAGGCTGGCAAGCCGCCCGGAAAGCCCACGAAGACGCCAAAACGCGTCGAACTTCGAACTTCGAAAATCGCCCAGGCGCGCCGCCGATCCTGTGCCTCCATCCCAGTTGAATATCGTTTATCCGATCCCCATCCCCAGCGGCGTGGGCTGGGCCCCACTGGCCGATTTAACCCCCTAGATGGGGACATACGTAGGCCGTATCCTTCGGGTTTCGAGGGGTGTATCCCCAACTGGGGGTGTAATTTGGTGGGGGTCCGGAAGGGGATGGGGATGGGGATGGGGATCGGATTGACGATACCGAGATCCTGTGCCTCCCCCCCCAGGTGTCGCTATGCCCGCCGCCCCCGATGGCGGGAGCGGGGCGGCCAGAGCGGGGCTCCGCGCGCGCCCGTCTGAGAACCCAGCCCTTCTACAATCGGACGTGATGGGGGAGGACACGCGAGAGGACACAAAGGCTCTTCCGAAGGCCACGTCGCCACAGGGCTGAACCTCAACGGTGTTTTTCGTTTTCGTTTCGTTTTCGTTTTCCCTCGTTTTGTCTTCAGTCCGCCTTTACCGTACGACGCAGTCGAAACGAAAACGGCCGAAGAAATCGCCAAAACATCGTTTAGGTCCAGCTCGGCTTTCTACAATCGGACGTGATGGGAGAGGACACGCGAGGGGACACAAGGCCCTTCCGAGGGCCACGTCGCCATAGGAAACGGCAGGGCCGTGTTGTCACACCTGCCGATAAAAAACATCGCTTGACAATGGAAACGGCCAAAAACTGCGACCAAAAAAACGGCTCCAGGAGTGGAACTGGAGCTGGAACCAGTAAAACAACGGCGACGGAACCCATGAAAGAACGGCGACGGAACCGGCAAACAAACGGCAAAACGGAGCCGGTAACGAAAACGGCCCTGTCGTTTCCAGGACCCACTAAGGGCCGCGAGGCGAAGGACACAAGGGCGCCCTTGCGCTGGCAAGGTCGACGTACTAATCAGGGCCTACTGTCGTCCATGCGAGGGCCACGCCGCAAAGCTCCCGCTACCTCACACCAGCGCAGAAAGGCGGCAAAGACCCTCGGACATGGCCTCCGCCGGGGCGCCCAGTGGATCTCTGACCTGGTTGTATGTTGCTCACATCGCACTCAAAGACCACATCCCAAAAATCCGCCCGCCCCCTTGTGGGGCCACCAGGCTGTAGGGCGAAGATTCGCAGTTTCCTGTACCAGTTGCAGCTTCCAGTTTCCACTGTTACAGTTCTGCTTCTAGCTGCTTACTGCTCCTTGTTGATTTCTTGCTGCGTACTGTTCCGTGTTGATGAACCGCGCGAGGGGGGAAGGTCCAAAACAGCCATTTTTACCACGGCCAAAACGTATGCTCTGAATTGCTGGGGTGGGTAAAAATTATCACCCCTCACGCATATCGGCGGGGTCAGGGTGCAACAACACATGGGATTTGCCACATTTCTGAAATTCGGTGGCACCCCTCACCCAGATTGGCCGGGTCAATGTTTTTGGGATTTGCCACATTTCTGAAATTTGCTAGCACCCCTCACGCAGATCGGCGGGGTCAGAATAAAACACAAATGGTGTGTCACATTTCTGACATTCGGTAACACCTCTCACGCAGATCGGCGGGGTAAGGGTCCAAAAACACATTGGATGTGCCACATTTCTAAAAATTCGGTGGCACCCCTCATACAGATCGGCGGGGTCAGGGTGCAACAACACATGGGATTTGCCACATTTCTGAAATTCGGTTGCACCCCTCACGCAGATCGGCGGGATCAGAGTCCAAAAATACAAATGAGTTGCCACATTCCTGAATTTGGGTGGCACCCCTCACGCAGATCGACAGGGTCAGGGTCCAAAAACAGATGGGACTTGCAATATTTCTCAAATTCGGCGGCACCCCTTACGTAGATCGGCAGGGTCAGGGTCCAAAAACACAGGGGATGTGCGACATTTCTGAAATTCGGCGGCACCCCTCACGCAGGTCCGTAGGGTCAGGGTCCAAGAACAGAAGAGATTTACCACATTTCTGAAATTCGGTGGCACCCGTGACGCAGATCGGAGGGGTCAGGGTCCGAAACCACAGGGGATTCTCAACATTTATGGAATTCGGTGGCACCCCTCCGTCGGATCGACAGGGTCAGGGTCCAAAAACAGATAGGATTTGCCACATGTTTTAAAATTATGGGGCACCCCTCAGGCACGTCCGCGCGGTCAGGACACAAGGGACGTTCAACAGTTTCAAATTCGGGGAGAAGATTTGGGCACAGTATACGAGAGGAAATGGGAAATACAACAGCGAGTACAACAATAGACTCGCAATCTCCATTCTTCTTGCCAATTACCCATCGTCTTCGCATGAAGTTCCGACGCTGCTTCACGGTGAAGCCAAAGCCTCATGACTTCGCTCTTCCATGGCACATACTCCGAGAGAAGGGGCCAGCGGCAGGGGGCGAAGCCCTTACGGATAATTTCGAGCACCCAGAAAAGTGTCGGAACAGTGTCGAATGAGTGTCGTCTCCCAAGGCCCGACGCGTGAAAACTCTCCAGTTTCGGCACTTCCCCGGTACTCGAAATTCTCTCTGGTGATCAAAGCTAAAGTAGGTTGGAACATCATAACCCAAGTGGATCTCTGAGCTGGTTCCCTTTCTCCTGTGACCGTCACAAGGAAACGATTAGCTCCTCCTCTTTTTGCTCCTCCATGTCCTCAACTATCCTTCTTTCCAGCTTCCGTCCTCCACTCATCCTCCTTCAGTTCGTCGTCCTCCTCCTCTTCCTCCTCTTCCTCATCCGCGGTCTTGGGGCCGCTCAAGATGGACGACACGCCCGGGACATCGGCTTCATCGAACATGTAGTGTGTGCGGGCTCTGTGACGTAGCGCGCCCCGGGCCCCGCGCGGGGCCCGGATGTTCTGAAGCATCAGCTTCTCCTCGGTGTTGAACTCCGCGGCCTCTGGGGGCGGACCCAGAAGAGGCAGGGCCATGGTTCGATGGCTGACCAACAACACACACGCAACCACTGACTACCCATGCCGCATTGCTCTGCGACCCGCTGGACTGTCTCTTCAGTATGACTCCGGATACGAGCGAGCGAACGAACGGACGAAGCAGCCATACGCCAAACACGCGTGGGTCAAACTGACGGCGAACATATACCGACAAACAGATTCGGGGCACGCCAAACGCGTACCGAAGCTGCATCGAGACGCGCCAAAAGCGTGTCCTCACAGACCATACGTGCAAATAAGAGCACTCTTCAGTAGTGAACGCACAGCAAAGATCGCTCCGCCTGCTTCTCTCGAATGGCAGTCTCCTCGTCCAGCGACTTCTTGCTCTTAGCAAGGTCCTGCAAGACCAGCGCCAATATCCAATCAGGTAGAATGCAAGAGTGAGCGGGGACGATAGGGGAAACCAGCCCAGGAGAGCAAACGTCGACCTGGAATCTGCGATACATCCCCGATAGACCGGCGATCGGCCCCCGATAGCGAGACCATATGCTCCTGGCGGGGCGGGCTATCGGGCCCCTTGATCGGTGATGAATGGGCGATTGGGGGTCGATGCATCCCACCCTGAGCCTATTCTGCCTTAACGCTGATCCTGAAAGCGACGCAGCATGGTGCCGTCGTAGCGCGGAAATCAACAATGAACTCGGCGTATGCGTGAAGCGCACGGGGACGCACGATTGGTCTCCAAGAGATCACTGGTCTTCCCACCACGCCGTTGATCCACATGGAGAGATCTGTTCTGCAGGGTACTGCACATGCTGTTGCGAATGCGGCTCGCAAATACTGCTCTGTCAGAAATTTGAAGCGGCTCGCAAATACTGCTCTGTCAGAAACTTGAAAACAAAGGCGATGTGCCAGCCACGTGTTGAAACCACAGGAACACTTCATTCGACACCGTACCGTAGGCACTCAGTCAAGCGTGTTCAGGCCCAATCGAAACCTTAATGCTGAAACCTGTATATACTCCTACGGGCACCACTGTATATACTCCTACGGGCACAAGACCCCCGATTCCCAAGCTGTTCCCGGCGGTCCTGAGAGCTCATGTTGGGTTCCCCCCGTGATTTTGTCCAGATGCCTCGGAAACGCGGTTCGGAACAAATTTCCAGCATGTTATAAGATTGCCCCAGGGACATCAACAGGCAGAACTTCTCGAAAAGCAGATTGACGCGTATGATGTTGCCCGTTCGGCCTTTTTCTGACATAATGTCGTCCAGAGTGGCCCCAGAGCCTCAGCATCGCCGCAAGTGGGTGCCGACATCCGAACCCTACACCCACTGAACATCAATTATCCTGCATCGATGGGAGGCGAGAGCAGGGTTCGGGTTTCGCCACGTGTTTGACGACTTCCGAACCCTATCCCCGCCGCCCACCGAGTGACCTGAATCACTGATCGGCAAGAGTAGGACTCAGATTTCGCCGCCGACAAGAGGGGCTCCAAAAGGGTCCCCACAACGCGGAACTCAAAGAGGCCCCAGGAGCCTTGCACCACTAGAGGGCCCCCGAGACCACGAGCAGGATCCCAAGAGATGTAGAGCCCAAACAGAAGACCCTAGATCGGAGGATGTCGGGGACGGTGGAAAATACATTGGAAACCCACGAAAAAAGACACACCCTGCTTGCCTCCAGGGTGCCCTGGGTTTCTTGGGTTTCGATGTTTCTGCCATGGGAAGCGTAACGTTCCCACGCCAAAAATCACTGGACGGCCTGGGGTCTCAGGGTTGGGTTTCTTGTAGAACGTTTCTGATGGTCGAGCTCCCACTGCACGAAGTCTGCTGCGTTCAGCTGGTTTAGGCTCCGCCGGTGGGGCGACCGCCTCAATACCCTGGTGCCTCCCTCGCCCGAACAGACAAGTTGCGTGCAGACGATTCGCGAACCGTATCTTTGATATCACCCCCTGGACCATGGTTTCGTCAGCACGGACGGGCCGAGAACCCCTCAAGACGGCCTGATGCGCCTCAAGAGGGCTTTAGGGTGGCCTTCAGATTCGCCTTGGCGTTTCCAAACTGGTTCCCTCGGTAGAACTCAGAAACATCGCGCCCACCACGGCCCCGTGACCCCGACCAGCTCCCCACGGAGGCAAACAATACGAGCGAACGAACCATCACAACGGACAGATGTCTGGGCCTAGCTAAGACCAGGTGGAGGTGGCCATGGCCGCTTGAATCTGGCACGTATGAAAAAAACATGCATTGGAACTGCGAGACGCGTAAGAAGTTACGACAGACCAATAAGCCCTGCCAATAATCCCTACCCATGGGGACCGCCAGAGGCCTCAGAGAGCCACATAAGACGAAGAAACGTCCAAGGATGAAGAGGAGGTAGGAGGAACGAGGACGGAGGAATGAGGGAGGAGAAAGGAAGGAGGAAGAAGAAAGAGGAGGAGAACGATGCTGCTAGGGGTTTGTACACCCACGTCGATTATGCGAATGCGCCTGCTTAGAACGGAGATTCTACTCGACCTCCAACCGTGCTGCGCTGTCACGGCGGCGTTTGCTGCAAGCAGCTGGAGATCTGCCATTCCACGCAATCCCGACGGACCCTTGCTCTTGCTCGCTGTGCTGCGATTGCTCGTTCTGAGTGCTGCGTTGCCGACCCTAAGACCGAAGAACAAGATTATTTGTCTGAAAACCTGGGGAAACCAAAAGTTATGGATACCTTTCCTCCTCGGAGATTTGGCGGGGTGCGCTCTGACCAGGGTTTCGAGGCGAATCCAGCGTTGGCAACGATGGCATCCGAAGATGTCCCAGAAGGAGAAAGCGGGGCGAGGGTAGCGGTACCGATATCTCGTCTTCCCCCAGAACGAGGGACTGGTAGCGGTATTGGGTACCTCTTCCCCCTCTGAGAGAAGCAGCATTCGTCTGGAAACCTGTTCGTCCACTGTGCAGGGAGCCCTGCGGCCGCCTCGCGCGAGGAGGAGGGGGCAGGAGGACGAAGCAGGGGGAGGGGGGAGCGGGAGGAAACGAGGAGCGGGAGGGATGAGGCCAGGAAGACGGGGGAGGATGATCAGAGGGAGAGGAACGGAGTGCTGAAAGCCCACCCGCGTAATAGGCGAAGTCATGCAGTACACGCACCCAAGGAGGCAGGGCAAGGCTGTTTAGTACATGCCCAGGGCCGTTTTGAAAAACCCCAGCAGAGATAGTAAGAGAAGGAGGAGCGGAGGACAAGGAGCAAGAATGTCAGGGAGGCGGAGGAGGAGAAAAGAACGATGAGGAGGTCGGGCAGGGAAAAGGAAGGCGGGAGGTCGGTGCTGGGGGTGAGGATGGCGCAAGGAAGGGAGGGACCGACGGATAACAAATAGCTAACACCAAAACTCAGCTTTTGGAGGACTGCGAAAATTGCTTGGATCGGCGCTGGGCACCCACTCACCGGCAAGCGAAGCGCGCCAGGGGCGTCGCCGGGGGCACCACCACGGGGGCCCAGCCATGATCCGAGCTATCCGCGCGAAGCTCCAACAATTTAATTGTATCCGATTCGAACCATGATTCGAACCATGATTAAGACCGAAAGCGGAAGCGTCGGTATCACTCTTGGTCTTCGTCTGGCTCGGTCTTTTACTTTGACATGTTCGACAAATTCAACATATTTATACATTTCCCCGGAAAAGGCTTAAGCCTAAGGTTCTCTTGTAGTTCTGTTACCAAAGGCCACGTCTTTACTTGCGACGGGCCGGCGAATTCACTTGCGAAGAATAACGAGGTCGAGCAGGGCTGGCGTATTACAAGTTGAGAATGTCCTGAACGAAACGCTGGTGTTTGAAATTCCGATCGATAAAACACACGGTACGGGACATATTTGGGACAGTGGCACGACTCCGTGCGTTTTTATGTGTGTTCACATAGACTGGCCCTTTCCAGGGGCACGAACCCGTGTGCTTTTGAACATGTTTTTATAGATTGGCCCTCGCCAGGAGACCACGAGGACCCAGGTCACCCAGAGCTGGAACCACGTGTTTTTACTTGTCCAGGCCACCCAGTAGGGTATCGAACATGATTGTCCCGAACTGGAGCCACGTGTTTGTCCCACCCAGGAGGGTATCTAACATGATGGTCTCGGGCAAGGCCACGTGTTTTAACGTGTCCAAGCTACTCAAGGGTGTATCTAACATGTTTGTCCCGACTTGGCACCACGTGTTTCCACGTGTCCAGGCCACCCAAGGGATACATATATATATATATATATAAGAGAGAGAGAGAGAGAGAGAGAGAGAGAGAGATCCGCCTGTGAGTTTAAGGAAGCTACAACCTAAGCATCAGCTCTGCTGGGGGGGGGCTGGGGGGGCTCTGCCGGGGTTTTCATTCCCCCCCCCCGGGAATCCCAAGCCGCCCAAAGACGGGCCAAAAGGGGCCCAGGAGGCCACCAAGACGGTCCAGGAGGCGCCCGAAACGGCCCAAGAGCGCTCCTGGTCGCCCAAGGTGGCCTGAAGACGGCCCAAGAGGCCTCCAAGACGCCTCAAGGAGATCCCAAGAGGACCCCCAAGAGGGCCCCAAGAGGGTACATTAATAAAGTTGCTAATAGGTTTTGAAGCATTTTAACATTATTTCCTTTTCCGTCTTAGAAGCGCCGGAGACGGTCCAAGAGGCCCCCAAGATCGCCCCAAGACAGCCCAAGAGACCCCCAAGAGGAGCCAAGACGGTCCAAGAGGACCCCAATATAGCCCTGGAGGCCCCCCAAGACGGCCCCGAGAGGCACCCAAGATGGCCTCAAGAGGGTGAACCCGAACGGACCCTTCTAGTCCTCCACCCGAAGATGACCCGAAGAGCCCCCAAGATGCCCCCGAGGCGCCCCCAAGGGGCCCCCAGAGGCCCCCAAGAGGTCCCCAAGAGGCCCCCAAGAGGACCCCGAGAGGACCCCAGGAGGCCCCAAAGGCCCCCAAGAAGCCCCAAGAACCAAGAGGCCCCAAGAGGCGCTCACTCGCGTGCTGCCAGGCCAGAGGTGCACGGCCTGACTTGGTATTGCTCGGAGGCGAAAGCGATGAACGAAAAACCTTCCACCCGTCGCCGTCACCAGTCGTCGGTCGTCGGCCGTCGGCAGCCGTTCGCCGTCAGTCGTCGTCGTCGTCGTCGTCGTCGTCGTCGTCGTCGTCGTCGTCGTCGTCGTCGTCGTCGTCGTCGTCGTCGTCGTCGTTTCGTCGTCATTAACTCCTTCGTCGGTCGTCGTCGGAATTATCCCGCTCGTCAACCGTTGGTCGTCCGTTGTCGTCGTCACCGTCCATGTCCACAACAATAGCATCAGGAGCGCCCCGGATCGACGGCACTGGCCGGAGGCCACTACAAATATCATGTATGCCCCGAGCAAGGACCACGTGTTTCAACGTTGTCCAAGCTACTCAGGGGTGTAT